AAAATGAGGAGCCGATACCAAGGGCTCAAGTAGAAAGCAAATGTTTTGAGAATGATGATGGCAACAAATGTACAAATGTGCTGGACACAATGGATGGATGGATGGATTGTAATAAGAATTGCACGAGTCCCCAGTAAAATGATTTAAGAAAAAAAACCCACGTTCTAGCTCCTCTCCCATCTCCTGTGCTGAGTGCAGTCCTGGAGGCCAAGAGCGGTATCTCCAGTGTGTGAGTGTGAATCACGGGATACAAGTGTCTTGTGGGCTGCGAAGGTTAGTGGAGGGGGTTGTAAAACATTTGGATTCCCAGGAACCAGGCAAAATACATAGTATGCCGACACCGAACACTACCTTCCCCCAATAACAAGACAGGAGAAAAATAAATAAATAACCACAGGCGCTTCCGTCAGCAGGGTGCACCGCGGTTCCAGAAGCAGGAGAAAGGCTTCCACACAGAGCAAACGACGCTTGGCTTAACCAGAGATTGCCACGCTGCTTTCCAACTTCCCGACCCCCACGTCCCGCGGCGGGGTGCAGACCCCGATGTTCTCGGCAGCATAGTTTTCAAGAGCTAAAGGATGGAGATGGCTCCAGGGACCCACGGCGGCGGCGGCAGGACACCTCCAGTCATCTCTGTGCGATGAACAGCTATAGGGAGACATCTGGGTATGGTCAACACGGGGAGGGGAGGGGACCCTGAAAACACTGTGCGGGGTGGAACAAGCCAGGCATGAGAGGGCAGCAACTACACCATTTTGCTTACACAGAAACAGAGAAACTGAAGCTCCCAATTCTCCCACAGCCCGAACCCACCCACAGGACAGACATTGCTAATCAGCACGCAGTAGACCATAATGGGCAGGAAACGCCTGTGGTCGGGGGCTGGCTTTCAGGGGAGGAAGAAAAGACGACCCTGACAACGAGTTGCCCACCGTCATGACCGGCCGGAAGTTGGAGGCAGCCCCAGGGCCTTTCTGTACCCTGCACCCTGGCCACCCGCTGGCAGGCCCACAGGAGGCCGCCTACCTGCCATTCTAGCCACCGGTCTGGGCAAGTCCAGGCTCAAGCAGACTCTAGCCCTGACCTCTCCTGTGTCATTCCTCCCTCGGTCTCCTCCTCTGTAAAATGGGGGCAACGAGAGCAGCCTGTCGGTGGCCTACAGATAAGCACTGCAAGTGCTCCCGGGGTGTCTTCTCTGCCCACCTGAGCGTGCATGCCACCAAGGTGCCTGGGACTTCTCCCCTCTAGGCCGCGCTGATGGGAAGTTTGGGGTTGATAGGCTTAGAGAGTTCCTGCAACGACGACGTCAATGCTAAGGAGCCCTGGCACCTTCAAATGATTCACTGGTTGGCGTGGAAAATCCAGGGTGCCATCATCTAACGACAGGTGGCCGGGACATGAGGCCCACCTGGTCAGCTTCAAGTGCATTTCCAAAGTGAGGTCTCGCATGGTCCTGGCCATTTCCCGGATGAAAAGAGCCCCTTTCGCTGGCACCATGCCCATTACTGGACCCAGAACAGGCCATCAGGAACCCAATAGGAACCCACCTTCCGGGAAACCTCCCTGTCCAAAGCCACCCCGTCCATCACCGTAGGTCCCAGAGGGAAGCAGCCTTCTCTCTTCTCCCAGTGATGCTGGGTAAGAGGTCCCCCCTCCCCTGATCATGCTGATGCTGCCAACCCGAGTGGACAGGTCACTTCCGACTTGGGGAGCACTGCCCCCATGGGGCTTCCCAGGCTGCCCTCTCCATGGAAGGCGCCGTTCAACCTCACCCGCAGTGGGAGGGGGCTGAGATCGTCAGCCTCTGTAAGGGTCTACGTACGGCCTAGACAGCCCGATGGGGCGCTCTGCCCTGGCCCCAGGCCGCTGACAGTCAGAATTGGTGTGACAGCAGTGGGTTTCGTTTGGGGGGTTTTATGGGAGCAGATGCCTAGGTCTTTTGCTCCAGGGAGCTACTGGGACGAGAGGTGGGGGGTGGGGGGTGGACTTGACCACCCGGTAGAATGCTTAAGCAGTGCATCACCAGGGATGGCCCCACTGCCCAGCCCCCATCCTCAGGTGAGCAAAACCAAGCCAGGCACATCCCTCCCACTAAACCACACGCAGTGACGTTACCTGCTAAAATAAGCCAGCACTGTCTCATAGATGGGAAACGTCTGAACTTTGTGGTTCTGTTGCAGATAGACCCAGGACAGCATTGTCTTCAGAAGGTCAAACTCACTAAAGGTGAACAAACTAGAGGCGGGGGCGGGGAGAGAGAAGTATTAGACATAGCAGTTGGTTCCGCAGTTCGCAGGCAGGAAAGGCAGAGGTCAGAGGCTGCCGGTCTGTGAGCAGCCTCAGTCATGCCCTCGCTGCCACGGAATCCGCCCTGACTCACAGTGACCCTATAGGACGGGGTGGACCTGGCCCTGTGGGTTTCCAAGAACAGAAAGCCTCACCGTTCTCCCTCCATACCACGTCACCAGGGCTCACAGGCTCAGGCAGGGAGCAGCTTAAGGGACAGCTCACAGGTCCCCAAAGAGTGAGGACGTTCGCTTCTGACCTTTGTGATTTCCGGGAGTCCACACGTTGGGCTGCCAACCTCCAGGTCGGCAGTTTGAAAGCACCAGCCACTTTATGGGGGAACAATGAGGCTCTCTGCTCCCAGAAAACATGGCAGCCTGGGCAGCCCTATGAAGGCTGCACCGTAAGTTGGAATCCACCGATGACAGTGAACTTGTGTGTGCTGGGTGTTCTACTCATTTATTTTTTGGCTGTAGAGGGGAGGGGGGTTGTAATTGTTAAAGTTTAAAAAGCATTATCTTTATGGCTCCCGATGGATCCTAACCATCCAGAAGGAAAAAGACGGACAGAGGAGGACACAGCAGGGCTTTGAGGTCACCCTGACCTGACCCAAGTTCGAATCCCACTCCATGCTGCGTTGGGACAGGGCGGCCACCTCGAGCGAGTCCCGGCCTTTCCTGTCATCTCCACTCCCCAAGGGGAGACCACAAGAGACGATGCCCACCTTTTTGGCCTGCCGTAGGAAGAAGGGGCCCTGGTGGCTTAGTGGTTATGAATTGGCTGCTCACCGGAAGGCTAGTGGTTTGAAACCACCAGCCACCCTGTGGCGGAAAGACAAAGGCCCGGCCCACAGAGAGCGACAGCCTGGGAAACCCACGGAGGCAGTTCCACCCTGACCTCCAGGGTGGCTGTGGGTGGACATGGACTCCAGGGCAGGGAGTGTGGTTTCCCGAGTTAGGCTGGAAGCAGACGGACAACATACTGAGAGTGTTTCTGGGAAATGGTCACCTGCTGAAAGGTCGGTGGTGCCGTGTAAGTAAGGCCTGGCGACCTGCTCCCAAAAGACCCCGAGAACCCCATGGAGCAGCTCTACTCTGGGCAGCCCGGCTCCCCCTGAGTTGGAATTGACCCCATGGCAACCACAGCCACATTGCTTGTTGGCAGCGACGACGGTTTCCAGCCCGAGAAGCATTAGCTTCAGGAATTATGGTGTAAGCCACGGAGGCCCAGGGGTGTGTTCCGGGAGCTAGTGGACTCAGCTCCTGCCCTAGAAAGAATGCCTAGTGCATGGAGGACATGGGGCTGGGGGCTTTCCTTTGGAATTTCCTGGGACCTCAGTCTCCTTGTCTCTTGAGGGAAAGGGAGACTCGGCGGGGATGAGAGTTCTTCTGCCAGGGGAGCAGGTGGCCCCACGTTCCCTAGCCCCCTTGCTCGTTCAGGAGCTTGGCTTCCAGAAAAGCAGGCTCAGCACGAGGTGCCACCATGCCCAGGAGTGAGTCTAAGGGAACAACTCGGCATGGCCTCTAGAAAGGACGCAAACTGGACCCAGGGAAATAAATCCGCACCAGGTGGGCGGGGGTGCTGTTCTCCAGGTTCTTGGTCAATGGGAACTGGACTCAAAGGACAGCGGGGTCACAGGGGCTCTGGACCCGGCGGCTACATGGCCCAGGAGGCCAGACGTCCTGGTGAGAAGTGGGTGGTGTTCCAGCAAGACCCAGAGACACAAACACCTGCAGCCACAAACTGGGGGACGCCTCAACCCTTGCCCTGAAGGGTGGCACCTTGGGGCCTAGGGTGCCCATCCCTGACCTTGAGGTTGGCCATTTCCACCCTAGCCACTCTGGGGCCATGTGGCTTCTTAGGACAGTTCAAAACAAAACAAACACTGCTCTCTTCCTGTTCCTGGGAAGCCTGGGTCTCCATGACCAGTGAGAAGGGTCAGAGTCAAGAGTTTGGATCCGGGCATCACAGGAGGCCTGGGCACAAGCCCTGCCCTTTGCTGGCTAGGACCCTCCCCTTAAGCTCTCTGCTCTTTAGAGATCATAACTTTGCTCAGTGACGGGGCCACGGGGGACAGTGCCAGCAGCCTTGTTGGGTGCCGCTGAATCAGTCCATGTCAGAGCCACCTCGTGGACCACAGGACACCCCCCAGGCGGTCCTGCGCCACCCTCACAGACATTGAGCCCCTGGGGGCAGCCACTGTGTCGGTCCATCCCCTGAGGACCTGCCTCTCCTCTGCTGCCCCTCTACATTTCCAAGCACGATGCTCGTCTCCAGGGACTGGTCCCTCCACACAGGAGACAGAGCGTCTCGCCATCCTTGCCTCCAAGGATGTGTCTTTCCCAAGACAGAGGTCTTCGCTGCCCAGTGGCCGACAGTCTGTTGGACGTCCGTCTTCACCAACACTGTCACTCTAGGGTAGCGGGTCTCAACCTGTGGGTCGCGGACCCTTTCACAGGGGTCGCCCGATTCCTAACAGTACCAAAATGACAGTGATGAAGTAGCAACGAAAACAGTTTGATGGTTGGGGGGTCACCACCACATGAGGAACTGTATGAAAGGGTCGCGGCGTGAGGTAGGTTGAGAACCACCGCTCTAAGGCCTCGTGTCCTCCCAGTCTCCCTTGATTCATTGTCCAGCTGCCAGCTGCAGCATAGGTCACTGAACATATCACGGCTTGGGTCTGGTGCACCTGAGTCTTCAAAGTGACATTTTGGCTTTTTAACCCTTCAAAGAGCTCAGCGAGTGTCCAGCGAAAGGGAGCTTGACCATAGGGCCCATCTTCAACTGGCATGGCCCATGGTGCCAGATCCACAGCCAGCAGCCTGGCGCTAGTCAAAACTCGGAGGGACACCGGGCTGGCAACATTTCTGGAAACCCCACCAAGAAGGGGCGTAGCTACAGCCCCTTTCCTGCACGCTCTGCAAACCCCACACCTCAGGCTTCCAGATGGAGGCGCCTCTGGAGACCAAACCCACCAGGTGAGTTGACCTGGGGTGGCGTGCATATCCAGCCCAAGAGCTGTCTGCCCTGTTCATCCTCACCGAGCCCACTCAGGGTGTCCTAGCTAAGTGCCTCCCTCCCACTGCGGAAATGGCCCTGGACAGTCTGTGCAGACAACTCCTGGGAGAGGCTGGGGTGGGGGGTCAGCACCTCGCATCCACATCTGTCACGTCTCCCCAGCCCTGTCTGTCTAGACTCAGGATGGGTCATGCTCTGGGGAGCTGTACGTTCTGCAAGACCGATCGCATCACGAACGTGCTGGTTGTGGTCAGATGTTTTTCCACGTGTGGCCACCCGGGGCCAGGGCAGAGTGGCTCAGTCTTTCCAAGGGAGGGACGGTGTTGGGAGAAGCAGCTGTGTTTGCTCCCGTCAATGACTGCATAGCCATAGCTGCTGGAGGTCAGGAGGGTTCTCCCCGGGAAAGGGAGGCAGGTCCCAGCTTCTGGGCCGGGCACCTGAGCCTCAGTAGAATATATACTAACTGCCAACGAGTTGATGCCGACTCACGGCGACCCTGTAAGACAGGGTGGAACTGCTCCTGGGAGGTTCTGAGACTGTGACTCTTGATGGGAGAAGAAAGCCTCTTCTTTCTCCTGAGGAACAGCTAGTGGTTTCGAACTGATGACCTTGCAGTTACCAGCCCGATGTGTAACCACGACACTACCAGGGTGCCTTGGCTCCCCCTCATTTCCCAACTGTCCGCTGTGAATACCTGTGGATGTTGGCTGTGGTGTTCCATGAATGGCTTGCGAGGTTTGCTCTCCAAGGGGGCACCCACACAGGTGAAGGAGGGTGGAGGAGTCCCTCCCCTAGCCCCATGGTGCCCCGGGGTCCATTCTGAGTCTGAGCCACTCTGGGGGACAGAACAGAACAACTCCATAGGATTTCCGTGGCTGTACATCCCTACGGAAGCAGCCTGCCTCACTCTCGCCCAGAGTGGGCTCACTCCGGGCTCCAACCTCAGACCTTCTGCTGTGCCTGCATTTCCCAGCAGTTGAGGCTCAGGAGGGCAGGGAGTTTGAAGGAGGCTCTACCTGGTGGGTCTGCCCAGCACAGGTGCCACTCCCAGTGACAGCTACAGGGCACAGCTGGGGGACCCCCAGCCCACCCGCCCGCCCAGTCCAGCTCTGACCTGGGTGACATGATCACTTTGTGCAGCAGTTCCCTGGGGATGGTGCGGAGCTGGATCCTCTTGCCCATCAGAGGGACCAGGTTCATCTGCAGCCACTGCTCACAAGCCTTGGTCAGCTGCCCTTCCTGGTACTGACAAGGCGAGAAAGGCATCTTGTGGACCCTTGGTGGCCCCTGCTGGCCCGGGCAGGTGTTGCATGGGAGCACAGGTGACCTGTCCTTTAGGACAACGAAAAATAAGCTTGCTCTGAAACCACTGCTGTAGACGGCCCGAGCACTTCTGTGCTCTGGGCACCGGGCTGAGTGCTTTAAATCCACCCTCATGGCAACCCGGCAGACCCCTGATGAAGAAACGGGCACCGGGGTTTCTGGGACTCGCCTGGCTCCCTCTGTCCCCTGAGGGCCCCGTGGCGGGGCTGGACTCCAGCCCAGGCCCGGCCTGGCCACAGGGCTCACACTCTGACACCTCTGAGCTGAAATCAGGGTGCCTGGTCTGGGACGGAGCCTGCCAGGTGCACACCACATGCAGCCCACCCTTTGAAAGCAAGAGGGATGGCAAGCCCAGGACCCCAGTGCCCCTCCATGTCCTCAGGGCTGATCTGGGCAGAAAGAAGCCACCTGGGTGCCATTCTCATTATCACTGGGACCAGGGGTTAGCTGTCCTCAAGCCACAGTGACCCCAAGATCAAGGGTAGGGTGTTTACTGGCTGGTTTGTAGAAGTAGATTGTCACACCTACCCACCTAGCTTCTCTTGGTCTGGAAGCTTCACTCAAACCTGGTCAAGCTTAGCAGAAAGCAAGCCTCTACTGACCAATGGTGGGGGCGGGAGGCACCTGAGGAGCACTACACCCAAGGGGCTGCACTGGGCCTCCTAAGAATTCTGCCATGGAATCACTCAGGTATGTGGGCTGGAGGCCCATGGCACATCTGTGGGGACCAAGTTCCTGGCCCCTCTGCATCAGAGACTGTCAATCAGAGGGAGGCGGGTAATGGGAGTCCTGGGACGCAGACCCATGTGACCCTGGCAGGTCCTCCCAGAGAGGCAGAGCAGGTCCCTCATGGCCCCCACAGCCCAGGGCCCAAGTGGGAGAGTCCACCAGGTACATGTCCTGGAAGGTAGTCTGCTCATTGGGCAAGAAAGGCTGTGTCTGCCCCCACGGCCCCCCAAAGATGAAGGCGTTCCCAAACAGTCCTTTGAAAATAACAGGACGCTTCCCCATGAGTTCATGTGGTGCCTTCAGGCTGGTTTGGGGGGGCCATGCCTGGAGTGCTCTTGAACACCAACCCCACCTCCCCAGGCATGGTGGGCCCAGGCTGTGCTTACCTTGCAGCTGACCAGGTAGAAGCTCTTGATGGTGCTGGGGCTGAGTTCGCCGATCATGAAGGTGACACACCTGCAGAGGAAGACAGGTGTTGGCCAGGGGCCCGGTGGCCTCAAGGAAGCGAACAGCCCAAGGTTGCCCCCCCCCCTCAGGATTCCCGCCCACCCCCACCCCCCACCTCCCTCTGAGCAGGCAGAGCCTTTGGACATGGAAGGAGATTTGTGTGTGGGCTGTGGGCATGTGGCCGGAGCACATGCCCAGCAAGGCCAGTGGCAAAGCCCTCGAGGGAGGTCAGGCCTGAGGTCTGCCAACCCCGCTCAAGGGAACCCGGGCCCGGGGGCACCAGGGTCTGCAGGCGCCTCACTGTCCAGGTGCCGTGGGGTCACCCTGTGGCCAGGGCGGTGCGGCCGGCGGGCCTGAGTTTGCCTCCTCTCGGGCTCCAGGGGACACTCAGAGGGCCGCCGCCCTGTTTCTCAGCCACCAGAAGGAGAGAAGTGTTGACCGTACCAGGAGACACACCAGAGCCCAGGGCCACTCGTGAGCGATTCCATCCAGGCTAGTGGGAACCAGTGCCCTAGTCCCTGTGTTCAAAGCTGCACTCAGGACCAAGAAACCCCAGGTCCCAGTATGGGAGGGCCGGCCCAGGAAAGGGAGGAGTCCCAGCAACGGTTTGCAGGGGGCGGGGAGACATGACCTTTGCCCCGTGGTGTCCAGCGCCCAGCGCTTTCCTTACCTTTGAAAGAGGGCCTTGAACTGGAGGGTGTGCGCGGAAGCCAGCACCCCGAGCACTTCGCCCACGTTCATCTCCGCGTCGTTCTTGTAAAGGCTCTTCAGGGCCGTGGTGAAGGCTGCCCAGGCGGACGCAGCCAGTCAGGGGGACCCCTGCGTGCGGCGCCCCGCGCCCCGGGGAAACGCCTGCCCCCCTCCGGGTGTCCCTGCTATCCACCTCCAGCCCGGGGAAGCTGGGTGGGTGGAGACCAGATGCTCAGCCCCGCCCCCAGCCCAGGAGGTGAGGATGAAGCTAAAGAGAGCCAGGCTGGACTTCCGCAGAAAGGATGCTCACAGACGCTTTGGGGTCACCTTCAGGGGGAGACCAGGTCAGGGGTTCCTTCCTGGGCTGGTAAGGAGCCTTGGGGGCGCTGTGGTGAAGTGCCAACTCCCAAGTTCCAACCCACCCACCCCGCCTAACCCACAAAGACTGCATCCTGGGACACCCGCTGCGGCAGCTCCCCTCTGTCCAGTAGGGTCACTCTGAGTCAGACGGAACCCACTGAGGTCGCAGGGTTGTTCTTTGTCTTGTCTTGGTTTTCCCTAACCGGAAGGCAGTGTGGGTGCTGCCAAGGGCTTGCCAGCGCTAGTGGAAAGGTGGGGGGTTCCAATCCACGCGGAGGCCCCTTGTAAGACAGGTGGGAGCTTTAAAACTCCCGGGGGGTGGAATTAAAAGACTTAGACTTTCTGAATCCCCCTCATACTTGTGAAACCCCGTGGAGCCCGATGCTATTTCCTGACAGCCATGGGGTGGTGGAGAGTCGGTCTGGCTTGGTGACAACTGGCCTGTGAAGGGATGGGAGCCCCTCCTCCTGCACCAGGTGTCACTGGTCTGCAGATGAGGGTGGTTTTCCCTTTAGGAATGACGCCTGGCTGACGGCCGGCTTCCCATGGAGTCTGGGAACTTCAAGAATGGCAAGGGCTCCGGGGAGACTTGGACAGTCCAGGAGCTGAACGGCCATGGCTAGGGACGAGGGTGGACTAGGCCAGGCCCTCAAGCAGTGCTGGAAGGGCGGCTAGGATGAGCTCTGAGGACAAGGGGTTAGCCCAGCACTCCTACCAACTCTCAAGCCCATGACCTCCCATGAGATGGCACTTGGCGTTGCTGAGTGGCTGGGGGTGGTGGGGGGAGCCCAGGGGTGCCCTGTGGGGAGCTGGTGGGCGAGGGGCTGGACAGAGCATTGTGCTGGGTGTGTTTTGAGAAGCTG